TACATGGCCCAATCAATCCTTAAGTTATGCTCTTCCCGGTTCGGGTTTCTCCGACCCGTTTCAGATAACCAATGACCAGGATTTTTAGTTTCTACACTCCGAGGAGGGGTTTAGATTTTCTGATGGAGAGTTCGACTCGGACGAGTGGATGGAGAGCCTGATCAACGGCGGAGATACGTTTCAGACCAATCCAGACTTTGCAATCTACGGTCATGATCCATTCGTTGCTTCACTGAGTCAACTCAGTGTTCCGTCGGATCTTAACCGAGTCGTTTTCTCTAATAAGGATGACTCAGCGAGTCAACTCACTCATCCGCTGGTTACACCACCATGTGGGCCCCATCTCCGTCTTCCTCTCTGCCACAGCTAATAAAAAGGAGCCGGATTTTGATCTAAACCGGTCGGATTTTGAAAGCTATACACGACTGTGCACGGAAATCAGAAATTGAACCGGAAATGCTGATTCGGATCCGAGAATCCGTATCGGAGTAGGGTGACCCGACAGAGCAAGTCGGGTTTTACTTCACAAAAGCTTTGTCTAACAGAGTATCGTCCCCGGCGGCGGAATCTCCGGCGTCGTCGTCGTCGCTCGAAGACTTCATCTTCGCTTACAAAACCCGAAACGACGCTTGCCCATACTCAAAATTCGCTCACTTGACGGCGAATCAAGCAATTCTAGAAGGTACACACGAATCCAGAAACATTCACATCGTCGATTTTAGGGTTTTTCAAGGTATTTAGTGGGCTGCTTTATTATAAGCTCTAACGACCTGAGCTTCCGGTAAACCCACCCGGATCGGCATTTCGGGTATACCCGCTCCGTCTCTAGGTGAATCACCGGGACCGTCTCTGATCGCTACCGCCTCCGCGATTTTGCCGCGCTTTTGGATCTGAATTTTGAGTTTTACCCGATTCTAACTCCGATCCAATTGATAAACGGGTCGAGTTTTCGGGTCAACCCGGACGAGGTTCTTGCCGTGAATTTCAAGCTCGAGCTTTACAAGCTTCTAGACGAAACGGCGACGATCGTTGATACTGCACTCCGGCTCGTCAGATCACTAAACTCGAGAATCGTGACTCTTTGGTGAATACGAATTGAGTTTAAACCGAGTAGGATTCGCAAACCGGTGTAAGAACGCACTCCGGTTCTATTCCGCGGTTTTAGAATCACTCGAACCAAATTTGGACTAAGGCTCGAAAGAAAGGCTAAGAGTGGAGAGAGTATTGTTCGATAGGAGAATATCAGATTTGGTAAGACCGAATAACAATAAACCAGGAATTCGGTCAGGGCGAATGGAGGAGAAAGAACAATGGAGAGTATTTGATAGAGAAAGCCGGTTTTAACCCGGTTAAACCGAGTAATTACGCGGTTAGCCAAGCGAAGCTGCTACTGTGGAACTACAATCATAGTACATTGTATTCACTGGTTGAATCTGAGCCAGGTTTCATGTCCTTGGCCTGGAACAATGTGCCTCTCCTCAGTGTTTCCTCTTGGCAGTGACCCCATTACAACCCGATTCGACCATGCAATTTTTTTTTTTTTTTCCCTTGGTTCGGTTGTTGATAAGTTAGTATAGCATTTTGGATTAGTTTTGGAATTGAATTGTTTGAGGTGATAGATTTGGAATTTTCTCTGAAGTAGTGAACTTTAGAAAGTGTGATTTTAGATTTGGTTGTATAATCGATATTTTTTTAACCTATTTTAGATAGTTTTTTTTAAGGGTTTGGATAGTCCTTTTTTTGTTTATGAATGTAAAGTTTGTTTTGCACATTGTATATAGCTACTTTGGTCTGGAACAAGGAATGAATGGTAAGTGAGTTAAAGATGTTATTTTCGTACATAAGTGGATAAAACTGTTTTCCTACCGACGGTTAAAACCCGACGTAACTAATAAAACAAACAATGAACACAAGCCTGATGTAATGAAATCAAATCCATAAGCCAATGTATGTAGGGTTTTCCTATTAAAAGAGATCGATATGTATAAATAGGTTTGTAACAACAATCTATGAGATTAATCTTGAGAGTTACCTTCAAATAATTGTCCTCCTTTATCTTTTATGATATTAAATATAATTTTTTTGATTTTGGTGTTTCTAAGCTATTATTTTTTTTCATTTCTTGCACTAAATAAAGCGTTAATAAGCTATTAACTATCTGGTTGAAAAAAATCGTCACTCCTTTTTGACCTAAATATCGCCGCCGTACTGTAACAAAACTCAAAATTTCATCCATCTGGGTTCGGCGATCGGCGGCTTTCACAGTGACGGTGCTGGCCCCTTTGTTTTTATAATTATGTTTTCTTATCGTCGTTTCAATTTCATCGGTTTTAATGGAGTTTCTGATGAATGGGTTTGATTCGGGTCTTGAAGTTTGTGGTGGTGAAGTCTTGGGTTCCGATTTACTTGAGATCCGGTTGGTGTTTGAGGGTTTGCTGGTTCTGGTTGGTTTTGCGAGGGGTTTGCTTGGGTTCGGTTTCATCGGACTCGAGTTCGCTCTGCTTTGGCATCCGTGCCGATCTTCTTTCGCCGGAGGTAGATGCTTTTCGACAGGC